CAGTCTAGCAAAAGACTCAAACATTGATCAAATAGTCATACAAATAAATGTAAAGTTGTGGCTGTAAAAATGCTATTAAGGAGAGGTCAACAGTATGGTAGACAGTGCGATAGTGCTTGGAAATTTTATTCCCAGATTATAATGGTAAACTTTAAAAATTGACTACTAACATTTTAATAATAAATTTGTTATGATTAGCATTTTGATGTGATTTTAAATTTATTCTTGTATACTAGAATTTTAATATATAATGAAGATTATTGGATTTGGCCTTAGCTTTGGCTGAATATTGATTTTGATACCTGGCCAAGCAGCATTTGGCCAAACTGTAGATTAGGTCAACCCCTACCTTCTACCTGGCACCACCATGATTCTTTTTTATTTTTATTTTTAATTTTTGAGGAAGATTAGCCCTGAGCTAACATCTGATGCCAATCCTCCTCTTTTTTGCTGAGGAAGATTGGCCCTGGGTTTGGTCTGATATTTCACCATTATCAAACTAAAAAATGTGGACAAATGAGAGTATCAACTGTTATTTTTTTTCAGCATTTTGACTTATTCTCATTTAACCTAATGCATTTTCATGTTGGACAGATTTTTTCACTCATAGCCTTTTCTCAAATTATTTCCTCTGCAGAAAATAAGACCAACTCAGCACCTGAGGAAGTGAGTTTCATTAATTATCCTTTTTAGATAGAAAATCAGTAGCTGGGAGGAAAATGGGAATTCAAAACCATGTTGTTTTATTCAGTTAACAGCAGTGAGCAAATTCAGGATGAAGGGCCATATTTAAGAAACTTAAACAGTTTACAAAACAGAGCACAGTCTGTTAAGGTTTCCATTGCCCAGTAGGAGACAAGCTTTTGCCAGAACCCTTTAGCATGTGGCCATGTTTGAACCATGCACAAAATGGGCAAGATTTCCATATGATATAAGTTGGTTGTCTTTATCAATAGCAGAATTCAACCTTTCTGTCTAAACTATCCTCAAATCTGACTTCTTTGTTGACAAGGGTTTAACAGCCTTTTGCTAGATATTTTTAAAATTACCATTACAAATTCCATTTAGTAAGAAAATAAGAATATCTCTGCTGAAAATTAATGTGAAAATATTTTAGTTATTTCAGTAGCAAAGAGATTCATGAATTTAGCCTATTGCTAATAGCTGTGGAATCAAGGAAAACTCTGTTTTGCCTTGCTATACTAGGGTAAAAAATGATTATGTGTGTGTATCTTTATATATAAACTATTATGTAATTGCATATGTCTCTTTTATTAGGATGGAAGCCCCATGAAGATGGACACTTTGCCTATTTTGTTCACTTCTGAATCCCCTGAGCATATACCAATACCTGGTATATTAGTTGAATGAGTGAATGAATGGCATTACACAATTACACTCTTTTTGTTTCATTTACAAACAGCAAAAATGCTGCTACAATTCTGAATTTCTATTTAATAGTGTTGAAAAATCACAGAGCTGTTGTAAAGATCAAATGAAGATTTTTATTAAAAAAATGTATATTTAGATAAAAAAATAGTGGAAGTAAAGATATGTGAAAGTGCCTAACCTAGGGTAGGGAACCCAATAACATTTAAGTTGACTCCAAATCTAAAGAGGGGTTTGAGGAGAAGTAGAGGATTTCCCTAAACCATCCTCAAATTGGAGCCCAAGTAGTCCATATGCAAAATAGTTCTTTCCCTACTGCTCTGAATGGGATGTTTTCTTGGGACTAAAGGTGGTCATCTTGCAGGCAGCTAATAGAGGACATTGTTCCCATCAGATGGTAGTACTGAGCCTGCCAGAAAATTCTACTTACTTTGGGACTTCTTTAGTCTGAAACATTTTCTCTGCAAGTCCAAGGAAGTCTTGACCTGGTGCACAGAGCAGGGTGGGTGAGGAAGGGAACCAGCTTTTACTGAGGACCTACCACACGTCCAGCTTTACCAGGGATCTCATTTGTTTCCTACTTTAGCTTTATGATAATAGTTAACATTCATTGAGTACTGACTCTGTGCTAGGCCCTTTACATGGACTAACTCAATAATTCCTCACACCAACCCAAGGAGGCAAGTATTTTTGTTTACCTCCAATCGACAGAAGAGGACACCCAGGCACAGAGAAGTTAAATATGCTCAAGGTCACACAACTTGTAAGTGGTGGAGCCAGTATTCAAACCCAGGTGGTGCAGGTTCTAGTGTCCAGGCTTTAAACTGCCTCCCTAGAGAAGGATTATTATCCTCATTATTAGAGAGAAGTTGAAGGCTCAGTAAATGAAGTGACTCCCCAAGGTCACATTAACGGAGCTGAGTCCAAAGCTGAGGGTGCTTTACTTTTCCTTATATTTTTTTTGCTTCTACCTCACCTCAATAAAAATAATAAATCAAGCAGCTAATACTTATTGAATACTTACCGTATGGCAAGTATTATTTTAAGTGCTTCCTATGAATTATCTCATTTAATCTTCATAATAACACTTTGAGGTGGTGTTTTATTAGCCTGCTTTAGAGATGAAGGTTGAGAAGGGTCAAGTAACTTATAAAGGTGACACAGCAAGTTAGTAGAGTCAGGATCCAAAACCTGGTTTATTTGCCTAAAGAGCTGAAATTCTTAACCACTCTACCAAACTACCTGCCTAGAAAGATTGCCTCTCCTCCCCATAGGTCCTGTCCCTAGTATTCCCGCTGAAGTCATGAGACAGAGCTGAAACTACTCGTACTCCCTGTGTCTCTGGGTCTTCCAAGTCTGCAAGAGGAAGGGTGTAATAACAAGCTCCCATCCCAAATTCAAATGGTGTAACTATTGTACCCTTTGGACTCAGGCATGAATTACACGCTTACTATCAATTTAAATTTTTGTCAATAGGAATGAGACTGATAGAAATAAGCAAAAGTTTTTTTTTAAACACCTTTATTGAGAAATAATTCATGTACCATATAACTCACCCATTTAAAGTGTACAATTCAATATCTTATGGTACATTCACAGAGTTGGACAACCATGATGACAATCTAATTTTAGAATATTTTCATTACCCCAAAAAGACACCCCATGCTCATTAGCAGTCACTTCTCATTCCCCCCAGCCCTTGGCAACCACTTATCTGCTTTTTGCCTCATTGATTCGCCTATTCTAGAAATTTCATATAAATGGAATCATACAATATGTGTTTTTTTGTGACTGGCTTTTTTCACGTTACATAATGTTTTCAAGGTTCATCCATGTTGTGGTATGTATTAGTACTTCATTCCTTTTTATGGCTGAATAATATCCCACTGTATGGCTATATCAAGGTTTGTTTATCTACTCCTCAGCTGATGGACATTTAGGTTGTTTTCACTTTTTGGCTATTAGGAATAATGCTACTTTGAATATTTGTGTACATGTTTTTGTTTGAACACCTCTTTTCAATTCTCTTGGGTATATGCCTAGAAGTGGAATTGCTAAGTCATATGGAAATTATGTTTAACATTTTAAGACACTGCCAAATTGTTTTCCAATGTGGCTGCATCACTTTACATTCCCACCAGCAATGTACGAGTGTTTCAATTTCCCCACATCCTCACCAACACTTGTTATTGTTTGTCTTTTTGATTATAGCCATCATACTGGGTATGAAGTGGTATCTCATTGTGGTTTTGATTTGTATTAATGCTGAGCATCTTTTCCTGTGCTTATTGGTCATTTGCACCTATTCTTTGGAGAAATGTCAATGCTGATCCTTTGCCCATTTTTTAATGTTATTTTTATTATTGAGTTGTAAGAGTTCTTCATATGTGAATAAAAGTCCAATATTAGAAGTGATATACAAATATTTTTTCCCATTGTGTGGATTGTCCTTTCACTTTCTTGATGGAATTTTTTGCAGCACAAAAGGTTTTAATTTTGATGTACACCAATTTATTTATATATTTTTTGTCACTTGTGCTTTTGGAGTTCTAGCTAAGTAATTATCACCTAAGCCAGTGTCAGGAAGATTTACTCCTATGTTTTCCTCCAAGAGTTTTGTAATTTTAACTCTTACATTTTGGTTTATAATCTATTTCAAGTTAATTTTTGCGTGTGATGTAAGGAAGGGGTCCAACTTCATTCTTTCCCATGTGGATACCCACTTGTCCCACATCATTTTTTGAAAAACTATTCTTTCTCCATTTTATTGTGTTGGCACCTTTATCGAAAATTAACTGACATAAATGTGAGGGTTTATTTCTGTACTCTCGATGCTATTCCATTGATCTATATGTCTATCCTTGTGCATGTACCATACTGTCTTGATCACTGTAGCTTTGTAGCAAGTTTTGAAATCAAGAAGTGTGAGTCCTCCAACTTTGTTCTTTTTAAATATTGTTTTGACTATTCTGGGTCACTTGCAATTCCATATGAATTTTAGCTTTGACTTTTCAATTTATGCAAAGAAGACAGCTAGGAGTCTCATGAGGATTGCATTGAATCTATAGATCATTTTGGAGGAGTATTGTCATCTAAACAATATTTCTGATCCATGAATGGGGTGTCTTTACATTTATTTAGATTTTTAAAAATTTCTTTCAACAATGTTTTGTAGAGTTCAGTATAAAATTCTTACACGTCTTTTGTTAAATGCATTCCTAAGTATTTTATTCTTTGTGATGCTAGTGTAAAAGGGATTGTTTTCTTGATTTTGTTTTCAGATATTTTATTGCTAGTGTATAGAAATACAAGTGATTTTATAAATTAACCTTGTATCCTGCAACCTTGCTGAACTCATTTAGGCAGGTAGTTGTGAGCAGTATGAGAAGAGCAAGAATATGTCTGGGATTAGGAAAGAATAAATTGAACAAATCAGAACTAGAACAATAATTACCATATATTGAGCAGGTTGTGAAAGGTCAGTGCTTCTCGACCTTTAATATGCATATGAATCTCCTGGGAATCTAGTTAAAATGCAGACTGTTGTCAGTGGGTTTGAAGTGGAACCTGGGATTTTGCCTAACAACTCAGTAGATAGCTGGTGACCCTGCAAGATACATATTATTGTTCCCATTTTACAGACAAGAAAATGAACTCAGAAGTTGAACAAATAACCCAGGTTCATAGAATAAACAGCTGAACACAATTCATTCTAATGCCAAAGCTGGCTTTTTCCACTCTACTGCACTGGATATCTAGAATAGGAGGAGATCAGTTGGGATATGAACAATGTATGGATCGGGGAAAAAAGTAAGCTTTTCAGCATCAGAGGAGGTGCCCGGAGTGCATTTGTGTTTAAACCTTGAGGTTACCTTGGAGAGCTGATCAGTGAGGACCTTGCTTTCCAGGTTGCTGAAGGTGTGAGACCGGATGATCAGGTAGAAGTAAAATGATACTAGTAGATACAACTAAAGATTGGAGGAGATCTAGAAAACGGCTCACCTCTGATCAGGATGAACTCCAGAACCAGACTGTATACTGTTGAGGTTTACACATGAGATTACACCTATTGTTGACTCTTCTTGAATTCTAAATTATTTCACTGTGGATGATGAATGGTATAGCATCAACGCCATTCCTGAGAGGCCAGGGTAAGGGTTTAGGGATGTGGGTAAGGCTCTGGTCATATGGTTACCTATGAAGGACTATGGATAGGTGACCAAATTCCTTTCCAATACTTTTCAGCAGAATATTGGGAGATTTCCATCACCTCAGTCAAAACACGTGAGATATATACATTTTTTGTCCTTAGCACCTTTTATTGAAGTATGACCCTTGATGACAATCTGGCAGGCATATCAATGTCAGCCAAGAAGGGAGTGGTGGAGGACACAAATGCAGGAACAATAAGATTCAGAAAAATAATAGCTTCACATGGGATAGATGACCCCCAACAGTTGTACAACAAACACTGGTTCTTTATCTATAGAAATTGCCCCCTGCCCCACCCCCCTCTAAAGATCTACTAATCTTCAAAGAATACAATATGCTGTTACAGAAATATTATTGGCATAGACAACTCCTTTGGCAAAGACAGAGGGAGTCACCAAGCTCCGGACTGGAGGAAGTGGCCAGAAATGTGCCCAGCTTCTTCCATCTGGGGCCTGCTACTGGCAGAGCAGCACCTTCAGGGAGGCTGGGGTTAAGGTTTGGCTCTGGTGCCCCTGGGCAGCTTTTTGGCACATGAGGTTAAATGGAAAACAGAGCCTGAACCTGGTCTTTAAAGAGGCTTTTCATCTTTTCTCCCTCTCTGTTCCTCTGCTTCCCGTCTCTCCCTTTCTAGGGCTTTATTTTCAGTGTCGCTGTGTCTCTTTCTTTTGCATTCCCCTTGAGCATTTACTGCTATATACTGGCTGGGTCTGCAGCTGGTGGGATTCAAGAAGACTCAATTACCCAGAGCCCTGGGAGCCAGCGGGAGATGGAGGGAGTAAGGAAGACATGTGATAGTAACTCCCACACTGGTTCCTCTCTCTATATCAACCACTCTGTTTACCTATTACCCACTGGGGCCTGTATGAGTATTTGAAGGGAGAAGGCAGAAGTCAAGACCAATAACAGTCTTTGGGAAACCCTGGGTCTGCCTTCCAAATTGCTACTCCCTGGCAGGCCTTGGTAGAGGGCTGAGCCCAGGAAATGAGAATGGGGGAGAGACACTGCATCTCAAGTAATACTGGCGGCTTTGCAGCACTATCACTGACAATGGGACTGCTACATTAGCAGTGCAGGGCATCAGTGCCTGTTTAGAAGTTCACCTCTGTCTTTCGAGCTTCACTGCTCAATATAGTTTTGGGGAGCGCTTTGGAAACTGTCCTTCCATGTAAAAATGAGCATCCTTATGCTCTGATTCCAACTGTAGAATAATTTGAGGTGGGATAAGGGACACAAATAACAGAGTCAATAGTACTTTTAGTGTGCTAAACCAATCTAACGCTGACAAGAAAATCCCAGACCATGGTCATGGTGTTCAGGTAAGTGACCACTCTTTTCCCTGGGCCTATATTCCCAAAAAGCTGTTCTAGCCAAAAGAAAAAAACCTTAGAATGATGGACTACATTGGCTTCATCCCAATACAGGGCATCTCAACTTGCTCATTGTTTGTCCTAGAGCCTATAAAAACCAAAAAAGATGGCCACCACAGCCTCTATTCAAAGCACTCCCCTGCTTCCTCAACCTTGGCTTGGGTAAGCCTAGCCCTTTACAAACCATTCATCTTCCTGAATAGAGTAGAATCCTCCACTTGAGGGGAGAATGGCAGGTTGACATTTTAACAGCAGCAGTGTACTAAGAGCATACCCAGGGCTCCCCTCAGGACACCCTGCTGGCCAAGATTCTTCCATTGTTTTCAAATACAATGAAGAGGAACCGGAAGCTAGGGACCAGTATTTGTAGCAGCAGCAAAGTTTCTTGGCAAATTCTTTGGTTGAATGAGGCACCCTTGCTGCTACAGTTAACCTCCAAGGATTCTGAGGAACTCAGCAGTAACTAGAAGAGATACCAGGATTTGCTGGGCAGGGCTATGCAATACCAAGCATGGGCCCCAGTTAGCAAGGAATAGGGAATTGACCCAGATAACAGGGCAGTTTGGCCACAACTCCCTTCCTGCCATTGCCCACCTGAGGGCTTTTCCAAGATAGAAACTGGCTACTGGTGTCAGCAGCAGCATTAGTTGTTTGTGTGCCTAAGATCTTGGCTGGATCATAATTTGCTCTTGGGGGCTGGCCGTGGCTGGAGATTCCAGCTATTATGAGTTTTGGTTCCCTGAGCCAGGTCACAGGCTGAGAAAGCAATTGTTAAGATAGAGGAGCTCCTCCTGAGCTCACCTCTACCCATTCCTTAGCTTGGAGATGGTAGAGAAATGGGTGAACCTTTGTCAGTTACAGATTTCTTTGGTTTCAAGAAAAATTAAGTAAGAAATAATTGAACCCTGTTGGGGAATGGTAAGCTCACGGTCATCCAGACTTCAAGGGAAGTATAGGACCAGGCCACAGTAGGGAAGCTCTGAGTTCAAGGTGAGAACTCCTTTCTTAGACACTTGTCAGCTATAGTGGGAAGAATTCAAGGCCTTGGCACTCGCTTACCTAGCCATGGTGAATTCAGGCTGATTTGCAGAAATGCTTTCCTTCTGGGCTAACTTTTCCCTCTCCAACTCCCCTCTTCTTACCTTATTAGTTAACAAAGAAAAAAACAGTCAAAACATAAAAATAAATAAATTCAAAAGGCCATTTAAAATATAAGAATAAGAACCCCCTCCCCCCAATAATGAAACATGTATCCAGAAGTCAGCTGTAGTAGAGCTATTAATGGCCTGTAGTGTGAAGCCCTTAGGGTAGGCAACTGTAACCCCCAGCAATGTAAAGGCAAGATGAAACAGGAAGCAGTAGGCCAAAAGTCTTAGGAGAGGAGGAGGCCACATTAGCCTGGGCTGAAAGTAGGCCTCTTCCCCCTCAACTAGATGCTGGGGAAGGTGAGAGTGGAGCCCATTTGTTTAAGCCTAGCTCCTTCCAGCAGGGCACCTGGGGATCCCCAACCTTTGCTCACATTCTGTTAAGTGTAATTCCTCCTTCTCTGCTTCCTGCTGCAAAGCTTGGGTGAGGCCCTGAAACTGGTGGTAGTTGAATGCCCTCAAGACAGCCAGATCTCTGTGGGAAATGGCTGGGTCACGAGCCTTGGGGCAGAGTGGAGCTACACAGGCAGCTTCTCTCTGAGTCTTGAGAGGCTGATTACAGTGTGGATGGGTGGTGAGCATATGATGTCTTTGGTGTCTTAGTACTAAGAAGAATGAAGGCACTTTGTTGGTTCTGTGTGTGGTGAGTGCTTGCCCATGCAAACTGTGGGAAGGAGAGTGTGGTTGTATGATCACATCTTGCTGTAGCTCCTACTTCTTGCTTCTACTCCACAGGGTCTCCTGGCTGGTTGGGAGCACTGCTAGGTAAGGGGCAATGAGAGACGTCCAGGGTAGAGGATATGGAACAAACTGCTGCTAACTGCTATCTAATTGCTAACAAACTGCTAACGAAGACTGAAAGCATTTCCCATTGTGGCTGGCCGGGGATGGTGTGGGCAGTCTGCTGGCAGAATTAGAAATTGCTGGGCCCCAGGAGTAGGCTCTCCCTGAGACATTTGAGCTGCTCTTCCCCGAGCTTGATCTTCTCTTCCAGCTCTCGCTGTTCAATGATGAGAGCAGATTTCATCTTTACAAAGTGCTGGTAATCTTGGAGCTGGTCTTGAGGCAGGTAGCGGGAGACCATGCCAAACACCAACTTCTCCCGGCGGTCCACGTGCTCCTTCAGCTCCTTGGCATCTGCCAACTGCCCTGTCAGCTGCTGCTTTTTCTCTATCAGCACCAACTGGGGAAGCAGAAGACCAATTAAGGGTCATCCCAATTACCAGTCATCTGCCTAACCCAGTGATCCACCAGGGGTGCTGCCACAAAGCAAGTACCCACTCTGCTAATTGATCAGTCCTAGATTTCCTGCCCTGAAGTCCACCTTCATGCAAAACCCTTTCTATCCTATAGCAGGCAGAGGATAAACACGATAGTGATTTTGGACAGGGAGATGTGCAATCACCTCTTTCCATCTCTAAGCTGTCTTTCACCCATGGACCACCACTGAGGTTGGGTTGGGAAAAGGCTCAGACAAAGCCAGCTCGTGCCCCTTGCACCTGGTGAACAGTCATCACTGTGACAATGCTTTCAAAATGGTATGTGTCTCTGTCTGGGTGTACGTGTGTGAGGGTATGTATCCATGTGTGTATGCACATGGATATGTGCCTCTTACTGTGGATTCAAATTTGTGTCCAAAACCACTTGTATAGGGAAAGGTAAAGCAGTTTTGGTTTAGGAATATATGCAGAGTGACCCAACCTGTGAAACTGACAGTCTCCCAATCTCGCCTACTTGGTGAGACCGCCTCCTCCAACTTGGAGAGAGTGAGGCTAAATTGCTGCTGCTGGTGCTGCTGCTACTACTACTACTGGCAGCTAGCACTGATTCAGTGTTTACCTTGTTTCAGGCCCTATTTTAAGTAATTAACATGGATTATCTGATTTAATTCTCACAACCTCATGAGGTAAGTAGTGTGTTCACCCCATTTTTGAAGAGACTGAGACAGTGAGGTTAAGTAAGTTGCCCACAGCTAATTAGTGGTAGAACCAGAATTTCAAGACACTTAAAAGCCAGTGCTCATGCTCTTAACATTATGCTCTACTGCCTCCCAGACTAGCCAAACTTGAAAGAGGGAGCCCTCCATCTAAACTCCAGAGACCCCAACTCTACCTTCTCCTGGTTGGCCTCTGAATCGATGCTGTTGAGAGCATTCTCCACCCGGGCCAGTCGTCCAGACAGCGACAGCAACAGGTTGACCACTTTATCCAGGTCCCCGATAAACAAATGATATTTTTCAAACTCATTGGATTTGCAGACGGCTTTTAGGTTGGCTTCCACCTCTTCCCCAAGGGCAGAATTGGCACTGATGTCCTCCAGCAGTCCTCGCTGGGCCTCCCGCAGGACAGAAAGTTTTCTGCCAATGCTTTCAATAAGCTGTATCTAGGAGAAATAAACAGGAGAAGGCAAAGGATAAGAATGGCGACCGACAGAAACTGATCTGTGCCTGTAACCTCTGTTGTGGGATCCAAGTTAACAGATGGTCGGCTTTACCCCAGTCACTGGCAACAAAGGAAACCTGAGCAAGTCATGAACAATTTCAGTTTCCTGGACAGGCACTTCTCTCTCATCCTTCAGATCTGGTAGGAATCTGTCACCACCAAACTTCTTGGCGTTAGATAAGTGGTACCCATGGGCTAATTCTCATGTGTCAAATGTAACTTAATAAATACTTGCTGAGACTATTTAATAAACAGGAACTGGAATGCTTGTGAAAGCATAGATTGGAAAAGCATTGTCATCGAGTATTTGCCTATTGCTTCATTCATTCTCCTTCAATCCATTTAAGTACCTCTGAGGTTTAAGGCATTGTGCTCGATCTTTGCACCCCCCACCCGCACCCGCCCAGCTTGGCTTTTGAGGCCTTTTAGGTAAGAGTGTGAGTTCTGGGCCGGCCCCGTGGCTTAGCAGTTAAGTGCACGCGCTCCGCTACTGGCGGCCCAGTGTTCGGATCCCGGGTGCGCACCGACGCACTGCTTCTCCGGCCTAGCATGGATGTTAGCTCAGGGCTGATCTTCCTCAAAAAAAAAAAAAAAAAAGAGTGTGAGTTCTGGAGTCACAATGACTAGGTTTGACTTCTAGCTCTGCCACTTCCTAGTTGTGTGACTTTAGGTGAATTTCTTTATGGAGCTTTACTTTCTTTATCTGTACAATGGGGGGGTAATTGCAGTACCCACTTCAAGGAACTGTAATAAGAATTCGATGAGATAATGAATGCAAAAGGTTTAGCACAGACTAGATGCTTACTAAAAGAGGGCTGTTATTATTGTTATTATTCAGTCTGGCCCCACCCTACCATTCTAATCTCATCCCTCAGAACCTCTCAGGATTAGCTTCTCACTCTCCTCTGTGTTCACAACACTCATTCTTGTGTTCCCGGTTTGCTTGTGCAATTCTACCTGCTCTTTATCTCTTCCTTCACTTGGGCAATTCCCATTCTTTTTTTTTTTTCGTGAGGGAGATCAGCCCTGAGCTAACATCCATGCCAATCCTCTTTCTGTTGAGGAAGACCGGCCCTGAGCTAACATCTATTGCCAATCCTCCTTTTTTTCCCTTTTTCTCCCCAAAGCCCAGTAGATAGTTGTACGTTATAGTTGCACATCCTGCTAGTTGCTGTATGTGGGACGCGGCCTCAGCATGGCCTGACAAGTGGTGCGTCGGTGCGCGCCCGGGATCCGAACCCGGGCCACCAGCAGCGGAGCGCGTGCACCCAACCACTAAGCCACAGGGCCGGCCCCCCCATTCTTTTTTCAGAGCCTAGCTTTGCCCCCTCCCTCCCTGCAGGAAGTCTGTACCCCCTTAGCTCTTCTTCTCAATGATATTTTTCTTTTCTGAACTCTCCAGTCATTTAGAATTAGAACCCTATAGTGTGATTTGAGGTTGTTCACTTTCTGTTTTGTGTGTGTGAGTCTGATCCCTCTCCTACTACCGATGGCAAATTTCTCAAGGGAAGCACTTCCTGTGTCTTCTGGTTTGTCTTCCCTATAGGTATAACCAGTTCTGGGACTGCGCTCACAAGAAGGCAGTGTGGTAGAGTGGATTTTCAGAGTCAGAGATGCCTAGATTCCAGTTCCACCTTCTCCAAACTGTGTGACCTTGGGCAAGATACCCAAACACACTGAGACTTCTATTTCCTCATCTGTACATCTGTAAAGTGGATAAGTGCCTCCCCTCCAATATTGTTGTGAGGGTTAAATGAGATCATAGAAGTAAAATACTAGTACTGTGCCTGGCACATTAAGTGTAGAATACATGTTTATTAATGCTATTATTATTATTATTATTTTTACTACCACTACCACCAGGCACTCTGAGCTAATGAATACTTGTCTAGCTGCAAGGTCCTGACAAGAATAGACCCATCCCAGGTTGCCCATAGCCTTTGCAGCTAATATCGCATTGTGGTTAAGAGCATGGACTCTAGCACCAGACTACCTGGGTTTGAACCCCAGCTCTGCCACAAAGGAGTGGTGTGACCTTGAGCAAATTACTCAATCCCTCTGTGCCTCAATTTCCCCATCTAAAACAGGGTAACAGTAGTACCTACCTCGCAGTGTTGTTATGAGAATTAAATGAGTTAATGATGTTGTGCTTACAATCATATCTTGTATATAGGAAGTATGCTTCAGTGTTTGTTTTATTAATATTCCTGCCTAGCCACTCTGGGACCATAGGTTTTTAGTTTTCTAGACTGTGTTCCTTTCTAGTAGTTTATTTAGAGATGTCCAAGGTGACCAAGACCAAAAAAGCCTGCTCTGGGTCTATGGCCTGTTGTCATATTTCAGAACTGGTCACAAGTCAGGAGATCACCATGATCTTAGTCTAAAGTGTAATCGATTTACATTTGGGGAAAATTCCAAAACCCACTAGGAATTACAGATCAATTATATGAATGAGACAACACAATTAGACGCCAAGGGGCTCCTAGTTATATCCCCACCTTCTGCTTTCCCAAACAAAACTCAATGCCAGGGACAAGGGATGGCTGGGGGCCAAACGATCAACTTGGAAAATCACCTACCCGCCACAACTTTTAGGTTCCATAGATCTAGAAGGATGAAAGTAGAGAGAGCCCTTGGTTTCTTGGAACTTGGGCTTTTCAACCCGAACTTCAACCTTGGGGAAAGTGTAGTGGATAGAGCTGTGGAATTATCAAAGACCCAGGTAGAGCTGAGTTGCTCTTCTGGGGTATTGCAAATTGGTGACCTTCCTCATCTATCTTCCTCAGAGACAAAAACTGTCCTAGCCCACCCACAATCACTTCAAATCACTATCTGCTGTTCCATGCTTTGCCATTTATAACCATTTCTCTCTTCTCCTGGTCAAACTTTTATTAGGTTTGCTCCTAATAAAAAGGTCCTGAGTAAGCCAGGAGCAGCCCTCCCATGCTCAGGGAACAAAGAATCCAAGGAAGCAGGCATCTCAATCAAGAAATCTTTGATACTACTATGCTTCCAATTCTTTCCCTGACATTTGGACTCAGATTGGAAAGTGGTGGGGGGTCTCTTGCGAATGGCCTTGAGCTTTCCTAGAGGTCACATCCTGAATGAGAAATATGGGCAGAAGAGAATTTACATTGAGTTCAGATGCCTACACAGTGGTAAATTGGGCTTTTGAGGTTGCCATGGAAACCCTATTTGCTTATGAAATAAAATGGGTAAGTGCAAGGAGGGCAAAGTGATTCCAGGAATTTGATTAGAAAACCAGGCCAATGGTACTTAGAGGAAGAAAGGGGAGGCTTCAGAACAATGATATCATCATCTCCATTTATCTGTTTTAGTATTTTTAAGAGATTATTGACTATCTTTGTAAGTAAATACGAAAGTTTACCAGCCTATAATTTCTCCTTTTCTTTCTTAGTCAGTCTGTTCTCTTTCCCAGAAAGTTACACAGAGAATACAATCAATGACTGCCATTGGTTGGAGCTCACTGGCAAAAACTCTGATGTGTCCTGCGTGGCAAGTTACTTAGAAGGCTGGCTGATTTCAGAGGGATGGCATAATAGAGTAGAACGCCTACAGTAGAGTAGACAGTCTTGACTTCAAGTCCTGGATCTACCACTTAGCCTGTAACCCTGGGCAACCTAGTCCACTCAACTGGTAAAAAGGGGATAGTAATGTCTACCTTGTAGAGTTGTTTTAAGGATTAGAGAGACACTGTGATGACGATTATGATTACTACTACTATTATTACTATTATTGACAGGATAAAAAAGAGACTGGAGTTGCATTTGTGAGAAACTCAGATAGGCTATTTGATTTCCATACTGAAAATAAAGGAATGCACCAAGATGTTCTGGAGAGCATAGAGGGCAGGTCAACCTCCAGACACACTCAAGCTAAATGCTGAAAATCTCTGTGGCATATCAAAAAACTTCACCTTTTTTTGAGCCAGTTCATGGTCAACTTCCTCCTCTCCCAGGCCAATCTCTGCCATCTCGGGCTGGTCTTTCAACTTGTTCAGCAGCTCTGCCTTGGCCACAGAAATATTGTAATAAGCTGAGTAAGAGGTAGGGATCCCTGGGGCCCCCTGAGGAGGTGAGAAGTGCTGAAACTCTTGTCTGTGGAAACAAAGAATAACCATTTGAGCACCTCTGTTGAGAAGCTGCTAACCTTTCTGCTTCTTAATTCCCTCATTTGTAAAATAGGACCCTGCTTCACCAAGGAGTTGTAAATAAGGAAATAATGGACCAGGAAGCACTGTTCAAATGGAAACAGGCCACATGAAGACTATCTAGAAGCCAAGTCAAGGCCAACTCTAAGAATTTAGAAGGCTATTAATATGCCCCTGATTTCCGCAGCCAGGGGGACTTCTTTAGAGATAATTTGGTTTAATCATTAACACCCCACTAAAATACAGAAAAAGTGGCAGGCCCCTAAAGTTCTGGGCTTTTGATCATCAATGATTCCCCTTGGTTCATGGCCTGAGTGTACAGATCCCAAGGGAGGGGCTAGGTGGTAGGAACTTATCTGAGACCTTAGCTATTTGTCCTCCAAGACTGTTAGCCTCCCTCCTACCCATCCTGGACCCCCACCCACCCCAGCTCTATCTAGTCTGCTTGCTTACAAAGGCACCCTGTAGCTTTCCTGGACAGTCTCATCATTTCTTCTTTCCTGCTGGTGCCACTCCTGCTTGAAATTGCCCCTCCACTGCAGATCTCCCACAGCAAAGAGGTCACCCATGACCTCAGCAGTGGTCACCATGTTGGAGGCCGGGGTTAGCACCCCTGCCAGGGACTTGTCACGGCCCACCACATCTCTCATGAGCTCTTCTAAGACTGCCTGCTGTGGAGCAGGTCTTTGGCCTGAGAAGGGATAGCATCTCTCCACTTCTGGCATATCCCCAATGGCCCCAGCCTCCTCCATGGTTGCAGAATGAAATGGGGAAGAAATGGAACCAGTGGCACCCGGGGGCTTGACAAGTGTAGCAGCAGACCCTGTTGTCTTGGGTTCACTGAAGCCGGCGGGGCTGAGGTGCTGCCTCTCAGAGCCCCAGCCCATAAAAGAGAACTGCTCCTCGGGAAAGAGGTAGCTCTGGCTCCATGCTGGCTTGGGTTTGGACTCTTCTGTCATCAAGGCTTCTGGTCTGGCATGAGGAAGAAAATAAAAATAAATGTTCCAATGTCAGGTGTTAGTGATAGAGGGGCAAATAATTCTACCCACGGTTTATGCAAGGGGGAAGCCCACCCCCACTATATTCTTGTTGCCTACTAGCCACCCCCACCCTCCAGCTGTCTGTGTCACTGCCACTGTGCTAACCTCTAGCTGTTTGAAAGGAAAAATAGGAAAAACTCATTAGTCATTTTTGCAGCTATTTGCAGCTCTTAGATAAAGGTCAAAAATAATGGTTAAAAGGCTCCACAGCTATTTACTGATTCATTCTATGCTGTCTCCTAATTCATCACACAAAAGAAACTCGGGCATGTCAATATTCCTCATCCTAGGTATACATTTTACATGTAGGTTTTCAAGCGAATAACACTGATAATGGAACACTACTAGCTAACGTTCACACAGTGCTTACTATACCCCAGAAGCTGTCCTAACATATATATGTGTACGTTTGTGTATGTACGTGTGTAGTCATAGATAAGAAATTTAATGCTCATGACAACCATTTTACAGATAAGGAACATGCGACACTGAGAGGTAGTGACTTTCCCAAGGTCACTAGACAGTAAATGGCAGAACTGTGATTTAGACCTAGTGACCTAACTCCAGAATCTGTACTTTTAGCCACTATGCTATATTGCAAAAGGGACAACTTGACATCATATAAAACCCTGCGTGTAAGGAATTTTCTGGGTGGACTATATGTTAGCAGAGAAGAGAGAACATTCTGGAAGAAATATGAATGTATGAACTTAGGGAATTCCTATCTATAAGAAAAATATTTAGGGTATGTGTGAGAGTTCTGAGTCAGAAAGTGCTGAAAGAAAGTATGAAATGAAATGAAAAGAAAAGGATGTGGCTGTATGTCAATTATATCTCAATAAAAATGGAAAAAAAAACTTTTAAAAAAGGATGTGCTGGGGCCAGCCCAGTGGCACAAGTGGTTAAGTGTGCACACTCCGCTGCAGCGGCCCGGGGTTCGCCAGTTTGGATCCTGGGTGAGCACCGACGCACTGCTTGGCAAGCCATCCTGTGGCGGCGTTCCATATAAAGTGGAGGAAGGGGGGCATGGATGTTAGCCCAGGGCCAGTCTTCCTCAGCAAAAAGAGGAAGATTGGCAGATGTTAGCTCAGGGCCGATCTTCCTCACCAAAAAAAAAAAGGATGTGCTAATTAGAGACTCAGTTCCCCAGCAGACACAGCACTGTACCATATTATAGTGTATCATATTAGGAACTATGTTCATAACCTCAATTAATAGGGCAGGGGTTACAGGAGATCTATGAGAATACAATCTGAATTTGATGAACGTTGAAGCAAAGACCAGATTCCTTCTACAGAGTACTGAGAGGAAATGCATCAAGTCCATAAAGCAAGCTATACTTGTACTTGAATCAGCGTTATTAGACTTAACCAAAACTTGATAATCTCACTAACCTGCTTCTACTTGTATCCCAGCATTTTGTAACTGAATAGTATGTGGGTTATAGAGATAGTCTGGTTTAACTTGGCTGAAATTAGGACGTCTTTTTTTGCATTTTAGATTCAAAATATTACACATCTACTTGCCACTAACACTGTTCTCCCTTACAAAATCTTAAAGCCACTTCCTTCTGGTTAGAACCCTGTGCTCTCTGAGGGTCTAGAATAGGATCTTCTTGAGCAGCCTAGAGATCCCAGGATGATGTAGTGGGCACAGTGAGCCAGACTCCCTGGGTTCTGGCTACCTGTGATCTTCTGCAATTACTTTATCTCCCTGTGCCACACTTTTCTCATCTAAAAAATGGAGGAGACTAATGGTATCTATTTCATAGGTTTGTTGTGAAGATTAAATCAATCAATACACAAAAGTGCTTAAAACAATGCTTGGCACAAAGTAAGCAGGCAAAAAATATTAGCTTACTAATATTAGCTTAGCTATTGGGACTGATGCTGTTCCTTAAATCTCTGTCACTCCAAGAAGTATCTGTAATTGATTTCTTGCAGCCACTAGCCAGGGCTGTGTGCAAACAAATGTTTCCCCTCACATCCCATGGTCATTAAAAAAAATCTCTGGAACCAGTTACAAGATCTCTAGTAATAGCAATTTCCTTCTCTCTGGCTAAGGTGCCAAGGTGAATGGAGGTACATAAAGAAGGAAGGACCATGAAGCTGAAAGCGGTAAGGCTGTGGCCTGTAACTACTACCTTTGGTACATGTTGCCTTACAGGAGACAGGAGGGCCTCGCAAAGGCCTGGCCTTCTGTAAGAACAAGATCTCTCTGAGAGAGGCTACCTAGGGTGGCAAAATAAGCATGGGTTTTGGAGTCAGACAGATCTGGCTTTGAATCTTTGCTGTGCAATTCTGAGTTAGTTAGTCCCTTACTTTGCTTGGCTTTAGTTTCCTAATCTGTCAAATGCGGATGATAATGGCCCATAAGGCTGTTGGGAGGATTAAATGAAATAATGGATATAAAATGACTAGCAGTGTCTGGCACACAGCAAATACTTAATACATGTTCATTCATTCATTTATTCACTCTTTCTTCTGAAATATTAAGTGTCTACTAGGTACTAGGTGACCTTCCCTTCTCCTTGCTCTGATAGGTAACAATTACAGTCACTTTCCACAAAATGTTTTGTAATTACAATAAGAATGCTCCCCAGCTAGATGGACAGCTTGAGAAGCACTCACGAGGGATCCGATAAGAGATTCTCACAGTGTCTGGGAGCCTGGCCCTATAAGTGCTGTGCTGTGGCACCTCGGGCTGGAAAATTTCTCAACTAGCTCCAGATAGCCAAGTAATGGATTTGCCTGTCAGTAAAAGACACAATAACCAGGTACTTCTAATAGCAACAAATCTCAGGCAAGTTCCTTCTATCAAGTGATTTAAAGAAAGCACTTAGAGGATAACACCTGCCCCTAGCTCCACCCCCAGCAGAGAGCGGGCTGAGCTTTCTGCAGGAGTACTGGCAAAGCTGAATGCCAAAGCTCCTTTGCTTTGGAGCGACGAGGATGACCACGCACTGTGGGGCATGCAGAGAAGCACTGGCACAGTTAAGGGAAAAGACACCAGCAGTCCTGTGGCCAGACCACACTCCTGCTTAGGCCTCCCTGCCCTGGCAGCTCACCCTGTCAACTACCACATATTGCCCACTGAAGCCAATACAAAGAGGCGGGGGAAACAAGGATGGGGTTGATGGAGAAAGTGGAAGAGGAAAAGAATGCCCTCAGCTGTTGTAAGGAATGATCGGGGCATAAAGCACCCAACCCCAGGAACACCTGTGATGCTGCGGGGAGGGGAAGAGTTTAGAAGCCCAGGCAGGTCCTAGAGCAGAGGCAGGTCAGGTTGAAAGCTGGCCTGTTGTTCTGGACAGCAAGCAGAAGAAAAGGCAGAAAAGGGCCTGAGCCAGGCTTCTGGGAAAGGTCACAAGGTAACAAGGGTTTAAAGCCTTCTGGCTCAGGGGCCAGAAACTGATGCATACCTTAAAGACAAACTGAGAAATAATACATACAGTACTTTGATAGTGACATTTAGGGATTAGAACATCAACAACTACCATTTACTGAGCACCTACTATGTGCTAAGCATGGAGCTATGTCCTTTACATAGATTATCTTCATCTTCACAACAACCATGTGGAATAGGTATTATCATGTCCATGGGAACAGTTTAATTGACCAGCCTAAGGTCACACAGCTGGTAAACGGTGGAAGTGGAATTCAAACTTAAGCTGCTTGCCTCTTTAGGGACCTAATAATGTCTTTTATAAGCACTTACTTGGGGGAATCAGTGGTCTCCTGCTCTGATGTTCTCCAAAGCCCACCAATGCCATAATAGCAAGGGGGCTGAGCCTTCTCAGGTTGAGATCCCAAGTGGCCCCTTATTGAAGGCAGGAAATCACTGGAATGGACAATGAAGGACTCTTGCTCTGCTGGGAGGCTTTGTGAGCCTTGCTTTGAGGCCTCCAGATGGCCAAAGCCCAGGGGTTGTGGCTGCTCGAGGACCTCCTCAGGATTGAGGGCACAGGAACTAGTGGTTTCTGAACTGAAATACTGGGGTGGTAGCTCCTCCTCCTCCCTCTCCTCCTCCTCCTCCTCCACCCCCTCCTCCTCCTCCTCTTGCTGCTGTTGTTGCTGTTGCTGCTTCTGCTGCTGCTGTTGCTGCTGCTGGGCTGCACGGAAGAGCCTATACTTCTCCCAGTTGGGAGGAGGAGGGCGAGGAGGAGGAAAGCCCTTCTTCCTGGCTCCCAGAGGATCTGGCTGGGTCTCATCAACTTTGGTACAGATCTCCCTCCTATGCTGCCCCCAGGCCCGGGAGCTCTGGGGCTCTAAGCTGATATGGCTCTCTGAGAAGGCACGGCTGCGCAGCGGGCGGGGCACTGAGGTCATGGAGCTCCCCTCCTCATAAACTGAAGTTTCCTCTGTCTTTTTCGAGGAGTGCTTGAAGTCTCCCAGGAGGTCAAGAGAAGAGATTGCTCGGTAGCTTGACAAGTCCAGTGCTGGGTTCTCAAGGCAAGGATGGAAGGGGGTCGCCCATGAAAAGCTAGCCTTGGAATGAGCCATTTCCCTGGAAAACAGCAGATGAGGATTGTGTAAAACAAGCAGGTTGCAGATGGTCCCATATTTTGGATGACATCATTTATGTAAAATATAAAATGGCCACAAAACAATATAATATATGTAGAAAATGTAAAAATAATAGTAATAATAATATATAATATTAATAGCTAACACTTACTATGTACTAAATGCCAGGCACTGTTTTAAGTGCTTTCCATGTCTTAACTTATTTAATCCTCACAATAACCCTAAGAAGTAGCTATTATTATTGTCCTGATTTTACAGCTGGGGAAACTGAGGCATGGGCAGGTTAAGTAACTTGCTCAGGGTCATAAAGCCAGTAAGTGGTAGAGCTAGGATTTGAACCTGGACAGTCTAGCTCCAAAGTCTGAATACACACATGGCCCCCGTCTGTAGCACTCAGACTGAATGTGCTATGTTCTGGGGCTTACGAGTCTAGTTATCTTGCTTCCTCTGTTGTTTTTGTTTGATTTGTTTTTAATTATAAAAAATTTCAAATATTTAGAAACATACAGATATTGCTATAATAAATATTCATGTTCCCACCTACTGCCCAGAATTAGCACATTTTAATACTTTGCTATCGATGCATCATGAATTTTTTTTTAAGAAATAAGAAATAACACACTTTGTTTCACTCCCCACTTCCACTCCCCTGCTGCCTCTCTAGATGCAAGCTATATCATGAATTTCACATGTATACTTTCTGCCCATGTTCTTATACTTGTAACAAAAAACATCAAGCAGGCCATTCACAAATATCTGCTATTTTGGATTTAAAATATCTCCTTCTACTGCAATTCCAGTCAGAATTCTCAATAGGAAATTTTAAGTATAGAATTTTCTAAGTAACTTGCAAAATAAAGCAGGATATAATATTAAAGAGTATTTTGCTCCAAAAGAAATGGGGGGTAAGGGATTGAGCATATTATAAAGCAAATATAATTCAAACAGTGTGTTACTGATTAATGGAACAGAATGGAAAGTCCCAGAAACATAAAATTTCTATAAAAACATCATATATAATTGATCTTCCATAACAATGAGATAAAGATTATTTAATAAATCTTTTTGAGATAACTGCAGAGCAGTGTTATTTGGAGCTGTACCATACATTACATATCAAAATAAATTCCAGGTTCAAGAGTTAAGGGTGTGTGTGTGTGGGTATAAATTTTAATATATATGTTATATATGTATATATAATATACTTAGGAAAAAAACTATCAGAAAATTAAAAAGACTATCACTTGTGAGGTGAAATAAGACTCTCATCTTATAAGCAATAGAAGAAAATATCCAAGGAAAAGAAGTCCAGGTTTGTTTAAATATGTATAAAAATACATAAAAAAAAGTCAAATTTCTGTATAATAAACAGTGACTAAAGTCAAAGGACATCTCTTTAGTCTCAGAGTATAAAGAGTTAAGCCCTCTAAGCCAGAAAGTTCTGGTTTTCTGCTGTGGCCTGAGCAATCAGTATCATACTAAGGACTGCCTAGTAACAGGAAATTCCAGCAGTTCAATTAAATCATCAGACAGAATATCCATTCAATAGTCATGTTGAAGACTGAGAATATTTCCTTAAAAAATAATAATACACATAATGGTAGCTAAGCTCAGATAGACTGGAAAGGAAAATCTTCACTCTCCTCATCTCTAATCCCCATCCTGGCTAGTTCATCACTCACATGGATCAGAAATTCATATCTACACATCCCCCACTCTCTTCTCATTTGGGCCTTACTTAGCCCACCTACAGCTCCTTAAGATTATAATAATCCCTTGTGTGCAAACTGTTCCACTTGGCACTTCCCCCTCAGGAAACAAACAAACAAACAAGGTGGTGAGTGAAAAGCAAAAGGATGACAAATGCTGTCACGCAAAGAGGACTTTCCTGACCACCTGATCTAAAATAGAGATGACTGATTCTTACTTATCCTTTTTCTTTTTTGTTCTTTCTCAGAGCATACATTCCTCCTTAATATTATATCACATACCTATTTTTACTTGTTTATTTTGTGCTCCACTCTCTAACTAAAATGTAAGCTCCATGAGAGCAGCGATCCTGTGTGTTTCATTCGTTTGGTACCTAGTGCCTGGCACATAGTAGGCATTCAATAAATATTTGTTTAATAAATGAATTAATGCCAAAAATGAAAAAAAACCCCAAAGGCCATGATACTCATATCATAAAAAAGTTGAATTAAAGGCAAAAAACAATAAACAAGACAATGAAGGGCACTATAATAGTAATGATTAGAATACATGATTAAGGTCTAACTACCCTTAATCTTTATGTACCTAATAACATTGCATAAAAATTCATAAAGCAAAATCTACAGGAAATGTAAAGGTAGAAAAAAAGCAAAAACAAAATATGAGACTGTTTTAGCTGATGACAGATATGACAGTCAAAAACTAAGATAACGGAAAAATCTAAATTTCTTCATACACTAAAAACAGACTCTACTTTCTTTTCAAGGGCCCATTGAACACTTTTTAAATTGACTATATATTAAGCCAAAAAGTGGAAGTAGTACAGACTACAGTATCTAATCAAAATACAATAATACTAGAAATTAATAACAAAAATGAAAAAAGAAAATTTATGACATATAGAAAATAAAAGGGAAAAAATATCCTCCACTCCAGTCAAAGGAGAGATCTGAAATTGTAAAGCACCTAGAAAATAACAACAATGAAAATATCAGAAGCTAGAGGATATGGTTGATTAAAGCGTGGTCAAAGGAAAATCTGTAGCCTTAAATACTTATATTAATACATAAGAACAAATTAAAATAAATGAACTAAGCATTCAACAAAAGACGTTAAGAGCCACAAAAATAGACCTAAGCAAAGCAGAAAGAAAACTAATGACAGAAATTAATACACTAAAAAATAAATGATAGAAGTAATAATTAAAGCCAAAAGCTAGTTCTTCAAAAAGAATAAAACAGATAAAGCACTTGCTAATCTAATTTTAAAACCCCAAATGCACAAAATTAGAAATGGAGAAACAACCGCAATTACAGAGTAAATGAAAAGAGTAAGAGAATACTTTGCTCTACTCTATGAAAACAAATTTGAAAACTTATAATGGTTTCCTGGCAAATCAAAAATTGCCAAAACTGATTGCAGAAGAAGAATATATATCTAAACCCACCAGTTACCATAGAAAAAAATTATTGATAAAGTTGACAACAACAAAAAAAAATAGCACACTCACATGGTCTTGTGTTAATTCTATCAACCTTCAAGGAATAGACAACCCCAATGCTATTTATACTTTCTAGATTCTGGAATCTAGAGAACAGAGGGAGAAGATAAGAATCCTGTATAACGTCAATACCAAAACCCAACAACTACTGTATACATAAAGGAAAACTAGAAACCAGTCTCATCTAAGAATACCAATGCAAAATTCTCACCATTTTTTGCATTTAAAAATATAAATATTAAGACATTGGTACACATAAGGAATTTATTAATAAACTAACAGCATATATTGAAGGTGCATGCTCAAAAAATTCTTTCTGAGAAGGATGCATGATCCAAAAAGTTGGAAACTATTGGCCTGGAACAGTTGTTCCTAATCAAAGTGGCTCCTAATCAGAATTACCTGGAGCGGTTGTTTAAAATGCAAATTAATGGGCCTCCCCACCAGAAATTGGTATTTAGTACCTCTTTGGTGGGGCCCAGGAATCTGCATTTTTAACAATTGCCCCAAGGGATTCTAATACAAGTGGTTCAGGGACCATACTATGGAAACAAAGGTCCAGGGTGAAAAGGATGGCAGTGTTGTGGTTTGGGGGTGGAGGTTTGGGGGCAGAGTTATTTGTTCCAGTTAGGTTGGTTTCCAATCTATACAGTCTGTCCCCCACCCCTCATCACACACATTCCTACCTTCTGTCCCTGCCTCTCTCCTCCTTCCTTACCTTCAACTCCATCTAGATTTTATGAAATGCAAGCAGTGACAGTAACATCTCCAAAGGCCCCAGTTGGGCCAATGTCCTACAGCTATGGTGAGAAGAACCCTGCTCCACGATAGTAATGAAATTTACCACTCTTTTCCGTAGCCAGGGCACAGGAAAGGCAACAGAGCAGAGTAGAAAGAACACAGTGTCAGAAAGACTTGGGTCTGAATTCTAGTAAAATTTTAAAATCTGGCTCCATTACCCAAAAGCTGCATGACCTTGAACAAAGTATTTAATTTATCTCAGTTTCAGTAAAATATCTATCTCACAAAGCTGCTGTGAGGATTAACTATACAAGAAAGGACCTAGGAATGATGCTGGGTATATGGAAAGGTGATTAATAAATGACAGAACTATGTGTATTGTTAAGAGTGAAGTCCCTTACTCAGGGCCACTGCATATGGTTGTGCAAGTTGTGCAGTGTACAAGCTTCACTGCTGTATGCTTCAGCCCTGCTCCAGGTTCCCATCAAGGGAGTTGGACTATGCTACCCTCTGTTTAATATTCAGCCCTGTTCAATAGCCAAGAAACCAGGAGACCTCGGGTCCTAGCTCAGCCACATGGCTGCCTAGCTAGGAAGCCCTAGCTAACCAAGGATTTTAACCCTAGGCTCATTCACTCACTCTTTTCATCTACTAAAAATGAAGAGGTAATAAAAAGAAAGTTTAGGCTTAAGAACAGCGTGAAGATCAAAAGGACTAGATATTCTAAGTTGTCTTGTTTAGGTACTAATCACTTACATCAGCCTTACAGAATTTACCGCTAGCTAGCCAACTCCAGAATCAGAAGAAGAGAACATGCCCTTCTAGGGACATTTGGTGCTCCAATTCATGGCACTGTGACCCTATCAGGAGGCACTGGGCTCTAGCAAGGCAATCTGGAAATTTCTATTCTCTGTCTCAATCCCAATTTTAAAAGCACTGCCTTCCCACTTACACAGCCTGTGTAGGGCCAGCCTGAGCTTTGCACAGTCACTTATATCAGTGGAGCAGAAGTAGGCAGGACTCCAGAA